GACCACGAGCCGGCTCCAGGGCGAGGGCCCAGACCTTCGGGCACCCCGCCGCATTGCCCCGGCAAAGGATGAGGGGAAGGAGGGGGGGAAGGAGGAGGAGGAGGAGGAGGAGGAGGAGGAGGAGGAGGAGGAGGAGGATGAGGAGAAAGGAGGTCAGGAGGAGAGGAGGTTGAGAGGAGTAGGAGGACGAGGAGGAGGAGGAGGAGGATGAGGAGGCAGGGGAGTGAGGAGCGGGGGAGGAGGAGGAGCAGGAGGGAGGAGGAAGGAGCAGGAGGGGGGAGCGGAGGAGCAGGAGGCGGAGGGGCAGGAGGAGAGGAGGAGGTGGTGGAGGAGGAGAGGAGGGGAGGAGGATATGAGGAGGTGGAGCAGGAGGAGGAGGAGGAGAGGAGGGGAAGGGGAGGAGGTGGAGGTGGGGAGGAGCAGGCGTAGGAGGAGGAGGAAGAGTGGAGGGAGGAGGAGGCGGACGAAAAGGAGGAGGAGGAGAGAGAGGATGGGAGGAGGAGGAGGCGCAGACGAGGAGGTGATGGGGATGGAGTGGAGGAGGAAGGAGGAGGAGCCAGGAGGAGGAGGGGGAGGACGGAGGAGGAGGAGGAGGATGCGGAGGAGGAGGAGGAGGAGGTGGTGGAGGAGGAGCAGGAGGAGGTGAGGAAGTGGATGATGATGAGGAGGAGGAGGAGGAGGAGGAGGAGAAGGAGGAGGAGGAGGAGGAGGATACCGCTGCGCTGCTCTCCCACGGCGTGCCGCAGTAAGCACTTCACATCGCTGGCATACAGGCCAACGCCGCGCCGACGGTCCAGGGCCTTGCCCCTGCGGCGCGAACGGCACGCGAAATAGAGCACGCGAGGAGACCGTGCTCCGCGCGCCCTGTTCGGGGCAGGGGGCGCCGGAGGCCGTGCTCCGCCGCCCAACCTACCCACCACCCACTCCACGGGTAGCCGCTGGCGACGAGGAGCAATTTTCCCTCCCCTTGGCCCCCCGCGGGCAAACAGGGCTGCTACCCGCCTGTTTTCCTGGGAAGGAGTCCCAGTGGCACAGGTGCCAAGTGGAGGAGCGGTGGACTCAGGGGGCGGAGTCTCCTCGGCGGCGGCGCCCGCGGCGGGGGGCAGCGGAGGGCCGAGGTCCTCAGAGGAAGGACACGAGGGGGCCGAGGTCCACGTCGTGGGGCTCGGCGGGGACGGCCTCGGTGTAGTCGATGCTGTCGTGGCCGACCGCGACGGCAACGTCGGCAATGTTGTCGCTGTGGCCTTCGAGGACGGCAGGGTCGATGGTGTAGTCGTGGCCGATCGCGACGGCAGAATCGATGAGGTCATTGTAGTCGCGGCCGTCAGGGACGGCTGGGTAGGAAGCTGCAGTCGTGGAGGCATCCAGTCCACGGTGTGCAGCTTGGTGGCCAGAGCGGGCAGCACCTGCCGTGGCTCTGGCGACATCAGGCACGTTACCTCCCAGGTCGAGACGGTCAAGAGCAGCACGCCGAGCAAGTGCGTGGGCAGAGTAGCTTCCGCAGCCACCACCTGGGGAGTGCTTCATCTCCAGGAACATGTAGTTGGACAAGCACAGTCGGCGAACTGTGGACCACATTGATCTCTCATTCATGTCCTCCGTCGCGCACGCGTTCTCGTCTCCTAGCCCAAACCTCTCCAGGACAGCGCCGTGCGAAAAGGTGCGCGGAAGGCGCGCGTGATGTTGAAGCCTTGCGCATAGGAAATACTGTTGGATCGCATCGTCGGCGTCGCAGCCAAAGACGCACCTTGGACGCTCTGGGTGGACGTGCATACGCGAGGAGGTGTGCCATCCTCCAGCCAGGGAGCGAACCGAAATCCATCGCCAAGATGGAGATACACGTATCAGGAGGGTCCGCAGACGCAGCCATCGAGAGCGCAGGCAGCGCGGCGTGACACATTCGCCGTACCACTTCACGATGCGGTTGTGGATGGTCTGGTGGAACTCGTCGGGGAAGCGCAAGAGAGTAGCCTGACGAAGAAAGCTCCGTTGGGGATGTAGCCGTCGACCAGTCTGACGAGAGTGGTCAGCATCCCTGCGCGCGGTCGCCGCAGCCCTTGATATCGAAGCCCTGGAGCTGAAGGGGCAGCATCGGTGTAATGCCTATGTTCAGGGCGGCATACCGCTGAACGATGGCCGTCGGCTCCTTCCAGAAGAAAGGCGACCAGTGCCCAGGCGAGAATGCAGGGAGAGGGCAGTGCTCCACAGCGACTGCGTCCATCAATTCCAGATGCCGTTGCCATCCCTCGATCATGAAGTTAGCCATGCGCCACATCGTGGCAACGTTGTACGGCTTCAACGAGGTCGGCGACGGGGAGGTCATCCACGGCGCCATCGCGAAGATGTCCTGGAGCCTGAAAATGCTCGGGGGCATGCGGAGAATGCGATGTAGCCCATGAATATCCCGTCTCAGCACTGCGGTGGGAAGCAAAAAAACTGCGTGAGGTAGCTCAAGGCCGTGATGCAGGAAGACTGATACAGGCGCGTCAGCGCGTCCGTCGGTGCTCCAGTCAAAGGTAATGCGAAAAGACGATCCCACCACTTCGGCGCCGCCTTCATCCACTGCATGTCATTGGTGGCCCCTGGTCCAAGGTGCGCACCAATGTACACGCCGACATCAGCAATGTGGAAGCTCTGCCATTCGGAAGTTTCCCGTTGAAGGAAGAGACGTAGTTCTGTGCGAACCCGTTCATCTAATTCGGCCCACAGCGGAATGATGGCACACTTTGCGGCATTGATGGAGAGGTGGCCGTACACGTCCGCAAAATGCAAAATCTGGTGAAAAGAGGGCAGCAGACGTAGGTGATTCAAGTGGACGCCCAGATCAGCAGCACAGGCGGCCGCGGTGCCATGCTGCTCGGTCGGGGGGACCTCAGCGACGCACGGATAATGACATCCATGGCAATGGCCCAAACGGTTCCCGAAAGCGGGCAGCCCT